GGAAAGATGCTAAAGTGAGCGCTCTCCACCATTACCTGGTGTCCTGGTCACTTGATTCCCTCCGGACAGAGTCCTCCGTGGTGCCCTCCGGCCGATCGTGCAGCCTCTTTGCTGCTCTCACTACGCGTAGGTCTGCCAGCAATACATGTGCAACCCCAAGCCAACAGTGCAAGCCGATCTTGCCAGCTTTTGAAGTTTTATAGTAAATACTGAATGTATTCTGCTTTTAAAGATTTCATCAAGTTCATTTGTGTTCTGTGTAAGGAAAGGTTTTTCTTTCCATCTCCGTGTTGCTCCATTGTTGGGACACATAGCCATTTATCCATTTTAACCCTGCCCAGTTTTGGTTGTTTTGAGGAGCTGTGAGTGCCCCTGTGCGTAACTTCTGTTCTAGTAGACAATAACGTTGTAGGTCGTCCTCGGGCACACCTCTTTACCACAGCTGTGACCTGGTGTGAGTCCATGTGGGATCCTAATTCTCAGTGACACAGGCCTCACTCTATTCCCCGAAGGAGGCTGGCCCATTATTACTTTGGCTTTCCACTAGGCCCTGCGGGCTGCCATGCAATTCTGTACTTCCCAAAAGGCTTCTGGAAATGTTTGCCGCTGTCATTAACGCTAGTACTCTCTGCAGAGTTAAGTGTGGGATGAGACGGAGCTGCCATCTCCTATTTGCATGACTGTGTCCTGGCAGAACTGCCTCTGGGCACAGAGCTGGGTGTGTGTGTGTTGCGTGTGGGTTCTTGTTTTCTCTACTGTCTTTCAAAACTTTCCTTTCCCCTTAGGTACACCCTTCAGAAATGGAGCAAGGGCAGATGTGACGGGAAAGGAGGGTCCCGAGAGGTGGAGAGGCCAACTCAAGGCCGGGGTCTCCTGTCTTCCCAGGGCCAGCATGTTGGGGTCCCAGGAAGAAAGTCAGTGTCTTTCCACCTAGGGTCTGGGGATCAACTGCCCTGCTTTGCCATGGCTCCAAGTCGGGGACCAGGGGACCAGGGCAGGCCAGGGCAGGTCGCATGGGTCCTACAGGCCAAATCAGCAAATTTCCTAGTGGACATTATAGTGGCTGTGAACCCATGAGCAAAGATGAGGCTACTACCACAGTCTAGGAAAAGCATGAATTTCCACAAATACCTGTTAATGAAATTTGAAATAGTTACAGTTCCGGAGTACAGTTTCTGGGCTATAGGTCTACTAACAGGAACCATGGGATTCCTTTTTTTTGGGGGGGGGGGTAACGTTTCGCTTCACTGGGCTCAAAGTGAGCCTTCCTGCTCAGGCACCTGCACATCAGGTAGGCCACTCAGCATCTCGTGTGCCTGCGGAAGCGCCTGGCTTATGGCCACACCAGTCAGCTGCGGGCTGGCTCTGACCTGTGGCCCCTGAGCCAGGCCAGCTCCTCAGACACGCCATGCACCTCGCCCGGCCACCCAGCCTGCCGCGGTGACCTAGGTTCCTCCCTGCCAGGGTGGAGGCACCTGCGGGGCCCCGTGAGGCCCCGGAGGAAGCAGGCTGACCCAGCCTGTGGCCTGCACGCCGAGGAGGAGGCGGTGACCCTGCGCCTGAGCCCACAGGGCAGAGAGCGCGAGACCCGCGTGCAGAGGAGGCTGACGGAGCCTAAGGGGGTGCCCTGTTCTAGAACCTCCGGGACAGGATGGCCTGTAGCAGGACAGCCGGGAAGGCAGCAAGGCTGCGGGACTGAATTTTCAATGGTTTTTTATTTTCGCTTTGGTTGAAACATCCCTCTGCCGCTGTGGTGGGCATGTGAGGGCGCAGGTGTGGACAGTGGGGAGGGACCCGCGGAGTGGGGGGGCTCCCCGTCCCCTTGCTGAGTACCATCCCGCCCGCTCCCTGTCCCCTCCCCGCGCACCGTTTCCACTCTGTGCCTTGGGCCTGCTTCAGACACATTCCCGCAGTCTTGTTTCGGTAATAAATTTGCCCCATAAAACTTGTTTTATATAAACTAAAGGTCAGCTTGAGTCAGTCCGTGGGTTAATGAGGATTGGCCAGACACCAGCTGTTGGGCCACCTGCCTAGGTCCTCATTGTCCGTGCAGTGTGGGTGTTTGTAGTTCTTGCACGTGTTCAGGTGCAGAGCTCAGTCTTCTCCTTCCCCCCCAAGCTTGAGCAGATGCCGAGGGGGAGTGGGAGGTGAATGCTTAATCGGGTCAGAAATCTCAGCTGAATCTCAGCCAAGTTGGCTGACTCCGTTGACCTACAGAGACTTCTAAAAGCCTTGTTATTTTTGTTGCTTTTAGATTCCAGTGCTGTTTGATAAATAACTAGTGGACGCAGGACTTTTGATACTGCCCAGTCTTAATCACTCCCACTTCTCCTGACCAAGTTTAATCTCTTTCATCTATAAATACGCACCACAGTGAGGGCGTGATTCTCACCGGGGAGGGAATTGCTTTTCCCTCTTGTGGTTTTAATTAAATTTACCTCTGTGGCCTAGCCCACTTTGCTTCAGTCTCTACTTAACAGACAGAAGAGCAGCAGTGTGTGTTTATCCTCTTGTTCTTGGAACACTGGAAGCAGGGCTTCCGCTTCAGTAACAGGCCGAATCCCATGTGGCAGTGTGAGGTTTTTGGTTTTTTTTTTTTCTTCTTTTATGGGGGCTTGAATTCAGGAATGGTGTTCTACCACTTGAGCCACACCCCCAGCCCTTTTGCTTTAGTTATACTGAGATAGGCTTTTGCATTTCTACCTGTGATGGCCTAGACTGCGATCCTCCTGTTTATGCCTCCCCCCTTGCTGGGATAGCAGGTGTACACCGCTCAGCCCAGCTTTTTATTGGTTGAGATGGGATCTCACTAACTTTTTGCCTAAGCTAGCCTTCATCTTCCATCCTCTCAATCTTAGCTTCCTAAGTAGCTGGGATCACAGGCATGAGCCACTTCACTCAGCCAGCAGTGTATTTTACCAGACTTCTGGGCCAAATGTGATTGAATCCTATCCATGCTGAAGGAGGACTTTTTTTTTTTTGGTCAGTTGTGGGGCCTGAGCTCTGGGCCTGGGCTCGTCCCTCAGCATTTCAGCTCAAGGCCAGCACTCTACTACTTAAGCCACAGCGCCACTTCCGGCTTTTTCTGTTTCTGTGGTGTTGAAGAATTGAACCCAGGGCCTCAAGCATGCAAGGCAAGCAGTCTACCACTAAGCCACCTTCCCAGCCGAAGGAGGACATTTGTCAGAGGTCAGCGGGGTCAGAGTGCTCCCCCCACCCCACTGCCTCTGAGCAAGAGTGAGCTGGACTTGGACACATGCAGGTGCCCTGTCACCTGCGGAAGGCCAGAGAGCCAGGCTCTGGTGGAGAGGGACAAGCCCGTCTCCAGGCTGATTTTCCAGGAGAAAGATTCCCAGCACTGAGCCCCCATTGGCTTTTGTGTGTGTGTGTGTGTGTGGCCAGTTCTGGGACTTGAACTCAGGGACTAGCACTGTATCTGAACTTTTTTTTTTTAATTGCTCAAGTCTAGTGCTTGAGCCATAGCTCTGCTTCTGTAGAATTCCCACAGAGCTCTGCTCCTACATACACAAGCCCCCCAGGCCAGCATTCCTCAGTCCTCCCAGAGCCAGACATTTGTCACATCCGAACCCATGTCCACACATTATTGTTCAGCAGAGTCCATGCTTAGGTTCCTCGTGGTGTATGTTATGTGGGTTGTTATGTGTTATGTGGGTTTAGACAAATACACAACGGCATGATGAGAATTTCTCTTTGTCCTACAGCAGCTCTGTCAAATGTCTGGTGCCTTGTGATCATTTTCCCACTTAAAATTGTCAGCACCAGTCATGTCTGTCTTCATCTAATAAAATGGCATTGTTGCATTAGAACCAGCACTTACAATGCTGCTGTTGAAAGCTGACTCCGAGTAGTGTGGGAACGCTGGGCGTGCAGACTGCCCTGCCCCGAGGTGGCGTGCACAGTTTCCTGGGACAGACAGGCCCCCGCAGTGTTTCAGGACGGGACCCACCATGGGTCGCCACTGTTGGCTAGGCCTGCAGCGCCAGACGCTGACGCACCGCTGTTCCCTGGCGTATCCCTGGGGCTGGTGGCGCTCTCCCGGTTTACAAGCCTTGTCTCCCATCACTGCTAGGAGTGGACATGTTTTGTTCTTCCATGGTTTAATTCGGTTGCAAGAAAATGTCAGCCCTGTGTCTTTCTTGGAAGCAGAGCTGTGAATTCCAATGCTGAGGAGCCGAGCTATTGAACAAACACTGTTTGGGCCCCTACTCTGCATTCTGTATAAAGTGCTGTGTACTGCTGTTGTTTAACTTGTGGTCTGTAAATATTTGCTGATGATTAAAATCTATCAATATATCAATGTAATTTTTCAACCTTGTGAAGTAGGCATTGTTACTTCTGGTTTCTGGAACAGAACATGCCGTCTAGCACAACTGACAAATATGTATTTGGGTCTCAACAAACTCAGAGTGGGTTCACCTTTCCTAGCCCACCTGCATCTGTGTGGGGCGGGTCTAGCCCTGAGACTTGGTTGCCGTCTGGGGCCCCCTGGTCAGGGTGTCCTGTGTCTTTAGCATCGGTTCCCCTGTGGGGGATGGGCTCGGCACTGGGCAGCACAGACACAGGAAGGACATGCTGGAGCCGTGCTGGAACTCTGAGAGAACAGAGACCTCATGGTAGGAGCGGCCTGTCCACTGCTGCAGGCCGTGTCCCGCAGTTGATGTGGGCCGGGGGCAGGTCCCATGCGTCCAGTGGGACACGTATCAGAAGAGTTGTTTTCCAGTAATCACCAGCGCTGCTGCTCCGTGCCGTTAGCAGGCTGGTTCTCCACACCGTGCTGGGATTTGTCCATGGGAAGAGCCCCAGGGGCTTAGGGGTCCAGCAGGGGCCTCCAGAGGGCTTTCACGGGGCAGCTGCACGCTGGTAATTGTGGTTTATAGGTAAACCTATTTTTTTTTCTTTTTCTTTTTCCTCCTTTCTTGGGGCCTTGCCTTGTGCAAGTGGTCTACCAGCTTTTAATTCCCATATTCTCTGTATTTTAGGCTTTGGATGTGGACCGGATGGTTCTTTACAAAATGAAGAAATCCGTGAAAGCAATAAACATCTCTGGGCTGGGTGAGTATGCACTCCTTCCCAGGAGTTTGTGTGTAAAAGCAAAGCATTTCCTGAAGTCCTGCTCACCGTGCGCCTCCTGAGCACACAGCTGCGGGCTCTCCAGTCTGCAGAAGCATGTTTTGTTTTTCTGTCTGATTCAGGGACGAGCCTCTATCCTCTTTCTTTCCCCTGTCTTGTCTTCACAGCCTGTCTTGTGGGGCTGGCTGATGGGACCCCACGATCCTTCTGCCTCTGTTGTTTTCATTCAGAAACAAGAAGGTGGCCACCTTGGCAGATTAGAAGTTAGGGGGAATCTCAGAGATGTTGAAACAGGTGATGGACTGTAAATGGCTTATGCCTGTAATCCTAGCTACTCAGGAGGCTGAGATCTGAGTATTGCAGTTCAAAGCCAGCCTGGGCAGGAAAGTCTGTGAGATTCTTATCTCCAATTCACTACCAGAAAACCAGAAGTGGCGCTGTGACTCAAGTGGTAGAGCGCTGAAGAGCTCAGGGACAGCACCCAGGCCCAGAGTTCAAGCCCCATGAACGACAAAAAAAAAAAAAAAAAGGTGAGCTCCTGGGAGAGTGCCCCTGCTAAGTGTAGGGTGAGATTGCAGCGTTTAGTCCCTTTGTGTATACCAGGACGCCTTCGTCCTGCAGCATCTCCTTTTAATCAGATGATGTTGGCAGAACAGGAGATGGCTTAGGTGATGGTGTAGAGCCCCAGGAATTCACATCCCATGAAGCCCCACTCACAGTAGCATGAGCACAAGCTCCAGTAGCCGCTCTTGACCACAGAGCGCTGTGCGGGCCATGGCAGGAGTCTAGTGGATGGTCTTCACTCAGAGGCGACACTGTAGTAAACATTGCCAGGTGTATTTAGTGTCAGATTTCCAAGAGATACACAGGAACTCTGTGGACAGCTACAAAATGCTGTTGACTGACATTAAAGACAGTCTAAATGAGAAATGTATGATGCGCATGGGTTTGAGCACCTGCTTCACCCTGGTCCTAATCAAGCTGATTAAAAGATTTGTATGGAAGGATGGAAGATGGTCTTCTGCTTCTGGTAGATTCCTGTGTTGGGTGAGAGGGACAGGGAGGAATAATGGTAGGTTATTGTTGGTTTTTTCTTTTTACACTTACTGTGTACTTTGTGCTTCCCATGCATTATACTAATCTTGATAACAGACTACTTTTGTTAGACAAAGGAGGGATTTGCGTATAGGAGAGATGAGGGTGTTATCAAGAAATTGGGAGTTCCACGATGCTGGCTCAAGCTTGAGTGTTTTGAAGCTACCAACTGCCTTCAGCCATCCTGACTTCAAGAAATTCCTAAATAGAATGCTCAGTTTTTTTGCTGACAAACAGTAGACTCCACAAAGTATCTTGGGTGTGTCCGTTGTGGGGCCTGAACTCTGGGCCTGGGCGCTGTCCCTCAGCTCTTCGCTCCAGACTAACCCTCTACTACTTGAGCCATAGCACCACTTCCAGCCTTTTCTGCTTATGTGGTGCTGAGGAATTGAACCCAGGGCCTCATGCATGCAAGACAAGCACTTACCACTGAGCCACCTTCCCAGCCCTGGGAGTATTTTTTTCTTATTTTTTTTTCACGTAGTCTTTTTGAACTTGTAAGTTGAAAAATACTCTAGACAATACATAAGATTATTTTGTAGTCTAATTAGAGTAAAGGTGATTTTTTTTTTTAGAGTCAAGGTGATTTTATGCTCACATGTTGACACGCGCAATGGGAAGGAAAGAATCTGCTTCTTGGGCAGCTGTTGCTCTATGACTGCTCTAGTCTGCCCAGGGACTTTGTGTGGCTCCCCAGCCAGCCCGGCATGGCACACACAGGGAAAGGTGTTGGAGGCCGGCCTTCCCATTGCTACAAACCTCATCTCCTCATCTGCTTCCCTGCAGGAGTTTCTTAAAATACAAACCAGCAGTACTGCCTTCTCTGCATAAGACATGGCAGTATTCCTGTTTTGCCCATAAGGAAGTTCATAGAGGTGAATTCCATCCCGAGATGGGAGGTAACGACCTGAGCTCCCGGGTGCTTTAGAACTTTCAGGAAGTGGAGATGAAGCAGAAATACAAAGATTCCTCACCTATAGAACGTTCAAAGATCTTAGATATGATCTTGACTTTTCCAAAGATGGGTGTTTTTTAAATGGATTGCCTTCCCTGGTAGACTCAGGTTATTAATAATTAATAATAGTTATTCCCACGAAGCAATCATTCTTAGGTCCACTCGCGCCTGTGTGTGGGTCTTGGAATGCCTTGAAGTTTCTCCATTGTACCACATTTTGTACCTCCTTCCCTGTACACGCTCCACCTACCTGTCAGTGAGGCCCAGGGAAATTGGGACGTTTGTTCAGAGTCACAAACTTGCAGACAACAGGGCGGGCCGGGATGTGCCTGCGGCTCTGTGGGCGTCTCCTCCGTGTCCTTGCTGAGAGGAGGCTGTGACCTTGCCACAGGAAGCTGGCAGTCCACCTGAACTTGGAGGGGGGTCTTCTATTTATGTCACCCTGCATCCATCCCTTACACCAGGCCAAACTCGAGTTATTATAAGGGCATGAGTCTGGATTTTTTTTTTAAAGCTGGATTACTGAAATCTTTATTTCAGAACAAGTGCTGTCACCTGAGGAAACGCTATACTTTTCCTGTGATGGTGCTGACAGTGGCCACGGCATGTTTGCAGCTCTTCTTTAGAACTGCTTTTCATAGCACATTCTTTTGAATATATTTAGTAGAGGAGTCTAAGGACAGATTAAATTGTTGCAGAAATAAGTCAGCCACTTTGAACAGGGGCACAGGCTGCGGCTGCCATGCTTGGGTGGGTGCTTTCCAGCTAGACTGTGCTCAGGGTCTCCCGGTGTGGAGAGTGCTCAGTGTCCCCAGACAGCTGCTGTTCTGGGAGGAGCACTCACTGCACGCATGATGGAAAGACCAGTGAGAATCCTGCCACCTCTGCCACACTTCGCCTTTGTGCCTCTTCCTATCCTATGTCACTTCCGGTCTCATCATCCTTAATTCCTTGAGCCTAAAGTGGTCCCAGTCTGACTCCTTCATCTGCGTGTGTGTGCGTGCGTGCGTGCGTGTGTGTGTGTGTGTGTGTGTGTGTGTGTGTGTGTGTGTGCATGCACGCGCGCATGCGCCAAGCTGGCTGCCCTGCCAAGCTGGCTGCCCTCCTTGCTAGGGGAGCTAGTGGTGACTCTTACCTTTGTCTTCATAAACGCTACCCGGAGCTATAAACACTCCAGTTACCTGGGTGTGATCTGCCCAGCCTTCTCCTTCCTGCTCTGTCAAGTGGAGACTTGAACATGGTTAGTCTTACAAACATTTAAACTTGTGTTGTTGCTGTAACAAACCACTATGCTGAGTGACTTAAAATGACACAAGTTTACCTATTAGATTTTCTCATGAGAAGCATAAGAAAATATATGAATATATATATATATATATGAATACTAAAATCAGTGTTTTTCCAATAGCTCTAGAGGAAAGTCCATTTCAACTATTCCAGTTTCTACCTGCTACCTGCATTCATTCATTTATTCATTCATTTTCTCTCTCTCTTTCTTTGTCTTTCCCTCTTCCTCTTTCTTTCTCTCTCCCTCTCTCTTTCCTTCCCTCCCTGCCTTCCTGCCTCACTTCCTCTTTTCTGCCTGCCTCCTGGGATTTGACTCAGGGACTTACAAGTCCTGCACCACCAGATCCATACTTTGAGCCCTTTTATTTACTTTAATTTTATTTCGGGTAGGGGCTTGTGTTTTTGCCTGGGTTGGCCTCAGGTGGAGATCCTCCTGCCTCCCATGTAGCTAGATGACAGGTAGAACTGCTACATCTGGCTTGTTGATTGAGATAGCCTTGAATCCCAGTCCTCCCGGCTCCAATACCTGAGTTAGCATGGTACATAGCTGAGAAAGTTGTTTTCTCACAGTTTTAGAGGCTAGAAATCCCCAATTAGGGCACCATAATGGTTAGCTTGTGGGGAAGAAAAGGAAGCAAACTCTCTGGGGGATTCTCATAAGGGCACTAATCATGTCATGAGGGCCCACTCATCAAAACGTAATGATGCCCAGTAGTCCTATCTCATACATCACATTGAGAGTTTGAGCTTTAGTATTTAAGTTCAAGGAGACCATGTTTAGTCCCATAGCACCTTTTGATATAATGGAGCCCCCTCAGATGATCCAGGACAGTCTCCCCATCTCAGGTTAGTTGGTTAGCAGCTTTAATTCCACGTGTGATCTCAGTTCCTTTTTGCCTGATAGCATACTCTCACCAGGTTCCATGAATCAGGACCTAGTCACTGTCTTGGGGGACAGACCGTTATTCTACCTACCTCACCTCTGAGCACTGCAGTTTTGAGGTTGAATCAGATGAAATTAAAGGATCTCTAATAAATAAGTATTTAAGTTGCCTTACATTGTTCTGGTCTTTTGCCTTCTCTCCTTGATTAATTGCAAGTCCATGAGATTAAGGACCAATTTTAGGAGACTGTAGTTTGTGATAAAGAGCTCAGAGGTACTAAAATCCAAGAAACCTGTATTAAAAACTAGCAGTGCCACTCAAAATCTATGATGTTAGGAGCCTCAGTTTTCTAACAGGTAAATGGATTATTAATACTGTCACAGTAGTACCGAGAATTACCTGAATTTATATGTACTGATGACAGAGTACCAGATAAATACATTTAGATGAGCGTGGCAGGTGTAAATACACCTTCTGTGTACTTGTTGAGTGTCTTGCACAGGGGTAGGCAAGTTTACTTAGATTATTACCATGTATCTGCTGCAAGTACTTAAGACTGTCCTCTTAGTATAGAAGAGTAAACTGATCATTTTCAATATAAACTGTTATGGCGGACCGTAGAGTCTACAGTTGGTATATCTGTGGTTGAGAGTCGAGCTGCTCTAGAGCAGCAGTTTACAAACTGTCCATTCACCTGTGTTCTTACAGCCTGTGAGCTGAGAATGAATTTCACTTTACTCAGTAACATCGGTATTGCCTCT